CTTCAGTATTATGTCTGAATTATCCTCTTGGTGTCATTTCACTTTAATTCATTCCCAGAAAAATCAAACCCATCTGACAAAAGATCAGCTTCTCTACTAGTTTAGACAAATCGGACAAAACTAAATTAATAATGAAACACTGAGCGGTATCCTTCAAAAGTGCTTTCTGCATGGTTTGAACTGCAACACATTACCTGCTGTTCGGAGTCAGTTTTCCCTCTCAGTCGTTGATCCAAATAACAAAAGAAAACTTTATTTTTAATCTTTTCAGCTGCAGCTGAAGATCCACTCTTTATCTGAACATCAATACTTTCAACAGCTTCTAACAAAAGCCAACAGAGGAAAGTGAACCACGTTTGTCAGCTTGCAAGGAAATGTTATGGTGTGACTGGTTTATGTGGGTGGTTTATGTGGTGCCACATCTTTTTTGTTTATTAAAAGCTGCAGTATGATTGGAGACATGGTGTACTTGCAGAAATCAAGACCTTACCTTGGGTGACTTATAGACAAGATTTAGACTCTGCAGCCCTCATTTAATCCAGGATATCCCCTTCGATAACCATTTAATCTTTGTAACCTCATTTATTTAGGTTATTATTATTTAGTAAATTGTGTTAAGATACCAGATATGAAAAACTTTGATTTAAATGCTGGTCTTTGCCTAAATCTGTTTTAGAAATAGTTTAACATCAACCTGTTGAAAAAAACGGATTAAAATAGATACCACATTTATTAACATGAATTTTAATTGGTCATACCCCATTGGCATGGTGACACTTAGCTCCTGATTTCTAATGTGAACCTTCCCTATGGCTTCACCTCATTTGAGTTGTATTACGATTCCAACACAGTTGAACCATAGTTTTAAAAAAGGCTTTATCTGTGGGAGGAGGCGAGCTTAAAAGCACCACCAACCAAGGAAATGATGATATCCAAAACCTCTTAGTTTGTTTCAGCTCTACTCTGTTCCAGAAATATTTGCTTCAACATGAATATGAAGTCAAATTAGTAGAAAAACATGAGCTCATTGTTGTTTATCGTCCTGCAGTTTGTGTGTGCGTGCTTGTGTGTGATTGTCAGAGAAAGGTTTTAGTTACAACGGGTAATGCCTAATTTATACTTCTCTGTCAGCTCCAAAAGGGGCAGATGCACAAGAACTGACAGACACGTTTTGCTCTGACTTTTCCAGCTGATTGTTGCAAAACAATTCCCCACCAGGACAACAGAGGGCGTAGCGCTATTCTGAGGGTTAACAATTATTAAGATCAGTAAAGAGTGCTCACACGCAATGATGTTTATAACACAAAACTGAGTTTAGGATATCTGTTTGCAGGAATAACCATATGGCGGAGGCAAATTTGATGATTTTATTTGTTATAACCAGGAAAATGTAATATTCTATATAAATATAAAATATTAACCTGCGAGGTCTTTATTGTAATTAATCAGAATATTCTAGGATTTAATTCAGAAGATCTAGGTTCTTTGCTTTTTCAGTGATCAACCCCACTTCGTGTTACTTCAAGAAGGAGTCAGGTTTATAAAAGTAAGAATTTATTTTACAAACAATTTAAAACATGACTGATTAATTAAGCATGTACGGTGAGTGGATGTAACTAAACGTGAGGAAGGCACCTGTGTGTGAATGTGATGTCAGTCAGAGCTTCCTTATTAAAATAAGCTGAGTTCTGGTGAAAAGAATTTGGTTTGCTCAAAGCTATAAAGTTGTTATCATCAGAAAAACATTCAGACGCAATCTGTCATGTCTACCTCACCCGTTTTGGAGAGACCATCTTGGTGGATCCGAAAGTCGCAGGGGTCGGCTGACCTCTGGCACCAGAGGGCTGTAGAATACCATGCTACCAACTCTTAAGTTCAGAGATGTCTCGGGTCACAACAGCTGGATGGAACCGTGCGTCTGGCGGACTCTTAAGGAGTCTAACAATATCAGCTTTGTTTCTGCAGGAACTGTTTGCTCATCAGCTTTGCAGGTGCAAAAAGGTTTTGACGACGTGTCAAAATCTTTGATGGTTAAAGAAGTTTTGCTACAGGTGGCCGGTCTGAGCAATTCTCTAAAACTGTCAAATCTCTCAGAATGATCTAGTTTTAAGGATTTGATGTTATGATTTGCACAGCCAATCAGAGGCTGACAAGTTTGGAGATGTTTTACCAAGACAACGCAGAAACACACCTTCTTTGATATTGGATGTCCTGACTGGTAAAAAGGGCAAGTTATGTGTTGTAGTCTAGCATAACCGTACTTGTTTATTGTGTGGATGGATGCAGGTGTGAGGACCTTGTCGTCAATACATGTTGAACACATGGCAGGTTCTAATAGACACACACAACATAACATCGATTCAGTGTGCACAGATTAATGAAGCATTTCATTATACTATAATTATTATAAGTAGTAACAAACAAATATTTATTTAATGCTACAACCAGATAAACTCATGATCTGTGTGGATAAACTGCCTCCACTCTGATACTTTAAAGATTCTCATTTGCTTTTATTTTAATTAAAAATATTTTTAAAATGATAACAGTTTAAAAAAGCTGTTTAGATGTTTTTTAAACTCAAACATGCTTAATGGGACATTTACAGGAATGCACTGCAGCTTTGAAAAATGCAAGACTGTGTCTTCTGTAAGTATAAACCTTTTCAAAAGTTTTATTTTCAGCTGATTCAATTCATTCCAGTTGTGTTTTACTCAACTAATGCACACTTGGCAAGCTAAAAGGATTTGTATTGATGATGTGACATGTTGATAAACCATCACTCTGAAAAATGGATATGGCGTATATTTTTGTCACATTCGCATGCATGTATGAGAAGGAAGCATTTACACTAAAGTGATCAGTGTGTGAATCACCTGAAAGTGTTGCTTCTGCAGGTTGGTGAGGCCAGCAATGTCATGTATCTGATGTGTGAAAATGGCGTTTCGGGTGTATCTAAGTGACTCCACAGGCTTTGACTGTAAAACAGTATTTGACACCCTCAGATGAGATGGTGGAAAACGTTTTAGGAAAAAAAAAGATCCAAAATAGAACCCACGGATGACCATGTACCACATCAGTATACTCGACTCTGTTTATCTCAGAGGAAAATGGAAAAGGGCTAACTGTACAAGGATGTTTAACTGAAAAAAGGGAGTAAAGAAGCAAAGTAGAAGTCATAGCGCTGAGATGTTGACAAATTCCGGCTTTTATTTTCTGCAACTGTCAAAGTGAAATGCAGATTTACTGAGGCTAATGAGAAGTTTAAAGCATCCTCTAGGGAAGTTTATAAATGATGTGCACTTTGCAGGAAAAAGCTGAAGTGACTAAAGAATTTTAATGATTTGATTTTTGCATTAAATTTTTAAACATAATCCTCACAAACTTGCTTGATTTTACATTTAATATCATGACAAAGTGAGGATTGTTTTCTACAATAGTAAAAAAAAGTTGCAATGTTCGCTTTCCATTGGCTTGAACTGACTTCACCACTTGTGCAGGCTCTCTCCGAGGCTCCCCATATAGAAAACCTCAAATCAACTCCATGTGGGCAGTTCTATTTTAACTCGCTGAGCCTCGCCTTCCTTCTTGTCCTCGACCACATCAAGGCTCTGGTTGCCGTTTCCATTCAAAAAGCCAACTAGATCTTGTAATTACGGCGGTTTTTGGTGTTGTGCTGGCTCATGCGCCGTCGCCTGAAATAATCTATAGCTTTGCCAAGTCAGCTGCCAATAGACTCCTTTAATAGCTGGATCAAGAAAACCCAAAGAGCAACAACAAAGCTACTCTGAAATTACTTGCAGAAGCTGGTGGAGTTATACTAAATGTGGTTTTTGTGTGCATGCATGTTGTTGCTTCGTGATTGCCAGCGTTTGTATGCAACGGTCACCGTTATAGCTGTGATCTCATCGCTTGTCTCTTTAAAGTGCTGCCTCTCTGCAAGCAGAGCAGATGATTGAAAAAAGGAAAAGCGATTAGGTTGATTGCTTATCTTCTTTGGAGTCAGCTTTGTGGCATGTATAAGTTATGTGTTCACGATCCCATTTCTCTGAAGGTCCAGGCGAACTGAAGAGATTTACAGGAGTGCAGGCAAGAGAGAGATTGAGTTGGTGGCAGAGATAAGCTGCATCTCTATCCGGCTATCACTGGCAATTAGACTTACTTTCTCCAGTGTGGCGTTGATACTCAAATTCCTTTCAAGTGAATTTAATGAGACACTAACAGTCCGCAGAAATACAAGGGGCACTCATTATTGTGTGAATTGTGGTGTATTCCACCGTCTGCGCTGAACTTCATTTGCATTTGAATTCATGTTCGTGTTAAGAATGGATCCCTGCTCCTTTAGGGTCTAGTTTAAAATAGAAGTGACCACATATTGAGATGGACACACAGAAGCTTCTGTGTATAGGTTTGGTATGTATTTGCGTTTGTATGTGTGTGTGTGTGTGTGTGTGTGTGTGTGTGTGTGTGTGTGTGTGTGTGTGTGTGTGTGTGTGTGTGTGCGTAGACACACCAGCTGCCTGCATTCCACAGCTAAAGCCCAAGAGACATTGTAAAGATCACTATAGTACACTGAAAAAAAAAATCTGTGCTCTTGACATAAAAAAATTATAGACAGTGGTTCCACAAAACAAAGTTAAGTCCCATTAACATGGCACTTTAATGTTTGTTGAAATACTTTTATTCAAGTGTAATTAGTATGACTTTTTAACATCCATAAAATAAAGTATTTTTAGGTTTATTTAGCATGAAATATTCATGTTTCGAAGCATATTTTTTATATGGGAGGAACCTGATTTTTTTAAGTTTATAAAATGAATCATTTTTAGGTTTGATCAACATGAGATTTTTCATGTTTGATAGATATTTTTAAGTGTGAGAAATATGATTTTTTTCAACTTCATAATACAAAGATTTTTTATGTTAAAAAACACAATTTTCAGCTATCTTACACAAACCACATTTTGTATTGATAGGATAATCAATAACAAAGTACATGATTAATCATCTGCACAATTGTTTTATTTGAATTTACAAATACGATTCCATACTTGTGGTACAATTAAAGAAACATAACTCCACTGCATTCAACAGTATTGTGAGTTTAAAAATTTGCTTTACAATCACAAACTGAGTTTACAGAATGATGTAAAAAAACAACCAAATTTAAACATTTGTCTCTGTAGCCAAAAGCAGAGTACTCCCACAACCTGGTAGTTATTGATATTAAAAGTGGATACTGGAAACTTTACTCCGGAACTCGAATAAACATACCCACTCATGAACAGTTTAAATTACACACAGCAAACTGAAATCTTAATCTATTACTTCTGATTATCAAGAACACTTTATATTCAAGAATACCTTAGGAAAAAAAAATCTCATTTTTTTAATTAACGCTATCCAAACAAAATTGGCCTTTATTTGGCTAAATTGGACAACTATCCAAATCACAGAGGACTATTTGGTCTTACCCTTTGTGCAAATACTTCCTTCATAAAAAACATGAACTAACTGATTAGTCACAAAAGGGGCTCATTTTCACAAGTCACACCAAAGTTTCATTACTGGCAAACCTTCTGAATTGAGAAATTACTTACAAAAAAAAACCTGTCAACAGGAAGCAAGTTAAAAGATCACAAAAGGTAACATCATCTCACAAGCTAAATTTTTTTTCCAGGAAACCCAAGAAATTTACAAAAAAGTACTGTGTTACTAATGTATTAATATATTTGTAATGTATTACTGTGGAAAGAGTTGCCTGCATTAACAAACAAAAAACTTACATGTTAGCCTAGCCTTCTTTGTGTCTGGCATTTCCACGCTGCAGCTTTATCTCTGTGTCGAAGGAAAACCGTGTAATGTTAAACACAGAGGGCCAGAATGTCCTGGAAACTGATGAACTGGATGCATCCAATTCGTTTGAGGCAAGAATACCCATGTCAACACAACCACTTAAAAGAAGGGATGTTTCAGCAACACAAGTATTTAAGTCATTTGCTGAAGTGCCGGGGAATTCAGCCTGTAAAGGAATTCCCTGTCGTGGATATAATTCGAATTGTCCCTCTGTCCTGACTTCATCCATGGAAGTAATGTTCATAAACTCATTGCTGAATAATGGATCAATAAATTAAAGTCTGATCGCATGGTTTAGGCCACGTTGTTTCTGAATCTCATTGACTCCGACTAAATTGTAGAAGAAAAATTATTGTGAATGAGAGAATATGTCTGTAGAAAACAGAGCAGGAAATTGACCCCTAAAGGCTGGAAAATTCTTTAGGTTACATCAGTAAAAACATCTCACTCGCAGAGTCTATTTTTGAGAAGTTGGACTTTCTTTGAAAGAGTGTTTCCTTTGAGCTCCATCACTAGTTTCTGCAGTACTTCAAATGTGTACTTCAAACTGGGAGGGTAGTTCAGGTTCAGCGCATAGATGAGTCCAAATAGCACAGCTGTAGCTAATGCTATGTTATCCAGGTCTTGGAATACTATTTGGCCTTCAAGCACAATCCCAATGTCTTCCGCTGTATTGGTCAGTACACTTCTCACCACATAGATTCCCAGGGTAGTCTCCTCAATGGACGTCTGGAGGTAGTCCTCATCTGCGGCCTGAGGAATGCAAATAAGTATTCAATGAAGGCCTTAAAAAATTTGACAAATAATTATTTTATGAACTAACAAAGCATGGAGAACAGTTTCATTAAAGACTCACTCCAATGAAAATCTTTTTTTGCCTTTTCTTAGCTTGTTCTTGTAGCATTTTTTTTATGCCAGAGGAATTAAATTAAGCTGAAAATAAATAAATAAATGCTTAGTATGAGGATTGCTGTAAAGCCAGTGACTTTATACAGTTTGCTGGGTTCCTTATACAGGAAACATTTTTTCTGATTGGCTTAATGAACTGACCTGTACTGAAATATTTACTGTGTGAAGTGCCTTGAGATGACTCTTGTCATGATTTGGCGCTTTTTAAATAAAATTGAATTGAATTGAATAAATAAATAAACAAAAAACAATTAAAAAAATCATAAAATAGCATTTTTTGGTATTTATGCATCTGAATTGCTGTGCATCTGTAGCAGATCACAAAAGGCAGACTAAAACTGCTGGTGTTTGTGAAGTCACATTCACCCTGGGCGGAGCCTAAACCATTCCTGCCCACTCAGGCTCTGAGGAAAGGTTATCAAAGTTCCAAAGGCTTCGCCCACAACCCTGAAGCAATTGAAGGTCAAGATCAAATAGCCAACGAGGCATACATCAATGACAAAAAAATCTCCAAATTGGTATAATATATAAAAAAGAAACTTACCACTGCTACAGAGCCTTCACGTGGTGTGGTTCAAAGTTCTATACACAAGACTCTGCAGATCAAGAAATCCTTTTTTCTGTTTCTGGAAGGGAAACAAAATAATAATAGTCAGATTAAGTAAACAAAGTAGGCAAATCAATCCTACCAGCAGAGGACAAATTTACCCCAACAACTTTTAAAGGAAGGGGTGATTTTTATTGTTGATGTTCCAATATAATATGCAGGGTTTTTCCTGGCTCAAATAGAGACAGAGGTGGTACCATCCTGACCATGCGCCAGCACATGCATACTCTGTGCATTCAACTGCCTCACATTTTTAAAGGCAAAATATTATAAAAGACTCAATAATATGCATTAGATTGGTGTTTAGTTCCCTTTTTCCCATTGATATTTGTAGTTAAAATATTTTTAAATATTTGACCTACATTTCAGTAACAGTTTAGGTTTGTATTAATAACACTCATCTTAGCCAAAATAACACATACATTTATCAAGGAAAATATGCTTTTCATTAACATGCACTTGTATTAGAAATGGTAATAACATTTAATTTCTGCTGCTAATAATGTAATGGTGACATGTCTATTATGTACGGGTTAGTGTTAGGGGGGTGTTCTGTTTTGCCTTGGCCCCCAAAATTCCTTGAAACAGCCCGGGGTGTGTGACTGAGTTTTGAAGGTGATCTGAATTGTATCCGATGTATAAATATTACGTGTATAACTTATTGTTTTATACTGGTAAAAATGTGTAGTGGAGATAAATCTACCTACATTTTACTTTCAAGCTTTGTTTTTATTTAATTATTTTCACATCCCGTCTGTCTCTCATCTTCCTGCATCTCTTCTAAAATCTCTAGAAAAACTGCTGCCTGGATTCTTACTTTTTCACCTCTGTTACTTTTAAACTACGCAAATTGTTATGTAAATAAGAAAATTAGAAACAGACAATTAAAAAAGCAGCTCCTTTAAATATTTTATTTTTTGCTATTTTTCTTTTTGGTTAGATTTTTCTGTTTATTTTTTATTTATTTTTGTTTATTAGTTAATTATTTCCGGTTCGGTTACTTTCTTTGTGAACCTTAATAGTTAAGTGTTACCCACTTTTCAAATACATTTTAGAGTATAATGTCTGATCTATTGGACCCTTTTTAAAGAGATTTGGCATACAAAATAATTTATTTTTTAAAATTAGGGGCACACTTTGACTATGACCGTTTTTTTTTTGTACAGCCTATGCACAAAAAATGCAACCAGCATACTATTAAGAGCAGATAAGGTAGGACTACATCTACAAGTAAGATTGAATATTATATTCTGTTATTTAATCATTCATAAAAATTATGTAACTTTTTATTTACCTATCAAAACATTGATAACACCATTAACTATTACTCTGTCACCAACTTATATTAATTTACTTACTTATAATTATCCCTAAAATGCTGAAAACTGTCACGTGAGCTGCCCTGTGACCAAGCTAGCACCTGCTTCAGAGCCTGACTCGTCAAAACACAACAGAACCACGTCTCGGTGTGTCCTTCCTCAGCCGCTTCATTCAAACTGAGAACGGTTCAGAAGATGTTTTACCAGAGAAAGAGACATTGCAGAAACGCAATTCGGGATTGTCAACCATATGCTCGTCATTTGTTGAAAGAAAGTAAAGCACAACACCAACGACCCTTAAGTTACAAAGCGCAAGCAAAACAAATTCTTTATTAATGGACACTAAAGGTGTATAAAACAGGATGGTAAAATCAACCGTTTTACCTTTAATCAAGAATTACTCCACTTGTGCCTGCACCACGGACTTAACTCGTCAAGCTAGTCTGCATAGTTACATCGCGCTCGCGCCGTCCCTCCCACGAGAGGGGGGGGGGGGGGGGGAGAGGGAGAGGGAGAGGGAGAGAGAGAGAGAGAGAGAGATAAAGAAGTTAAAAAATGGCGGGCTTGGCCTCCTTCTTCCCCTAAAGGGGGACTTAAACGAAGCCTTTTAATCCTCCACACTTTAAAATTGTAATGGCACCAGTTATTAAATTGGCTAAAATTACTCAGGAGTCGAACACAAAGGCACACACACACACACACACACACACACACACACACACACATACACACAAAATCGGCATAATGAGTAAAATCATGACAGAGCAGGACAGTTTCATATTTAGCTAGCTTAAAAAGTTATCTTTAAACAAACTTGAAAATGCTTGTTTTACTATTATATTCTACTAGGTTATAAAAAAATTATATAAAACATTTATTGGTTAACATCCGAGAACAACAATATACTTAATTTGAATCCATTTAACAATAGACTTACCATGTTCAGCAAAGAGCCCTTTTCCCAACGACACAGAAAATGGCGGATGAAATGAGTGAGCAGCAAGTGTTTTAAACGTCACTCCTCGAAGGGGGCGGAGTGTACTCCTAAACATGATCCGAACATGTTGTTTCAACATGAAAATTACATTTACATCTAACAACATCAAGGAATATGTTATGTGTTTAAGACTTTGTTATGTTAAAGCAAGAAACAAAAAATAATCATGTTAGCTTTGTAAAATATATACATGTCAAGATCACAATCCCATTTCCCCCTTTTTATCAGTGTAACACGCAGCATCTATTTTCAAAGCGTTTTAAAGTGTGCATAAGGGCAGCCTATAAATATGTCCTGATAAATGAGTTCTCTCTTAGCTTTTTGAACTTTAAACTCTTAGTTCTATCTTGGAAACTTTAAATGAGCAACTCAATTGTTGTGTCACTTTACTTAGAAATGTTGGGATTTGTGGATTTTAAAGGTGTGGATTACTGAAAAACCTCTTTTTTATTATTATTTCTGATTATAACAACTCACTCTGAGTTTTTCATGCAGGCTGAACAAGAAAATAGTCTCCTACACCTATCTCCTGCATTAGCTTCTGATAGAAAATAGACGATGAACTCTAGGATTAGCAAATCCTGACAGATCTACATCACACTGTCACTTAACATTCATGTACTATCATGGAAGGTGATATTTCATATTTCATGATATTTCACATTCTATGGTTTCTAATTAAATGTAACGACAGGTTCATTACACCGCTATTACGTTACAAGACTGCTTTCACGGCTGGTGAAAAGAAAGGGTTAAGCCTGGGGCACACTGGAGACAAATGCACGGTTTTGGGATGTCAAATGGTCACACAGGATGCATCGCGCCTTTCAGCATTGTTGTAAACACGCAACGCCTGAAATCGAACTGGCATCCATCTTCAGCGCCTTGGCACAGCGCTTCTGGGACGCGGCGCTGCGCTCCCCGTGTAGCCACTCTCAGTAACTATAATGGCTTCTATTTAAAATGACGGTGAGGCGCGTCTGTCTCCGGTGTGCCCTAGGCTTAAGAGTCCCCTTTTTTAAGTCTAGAAGGAAAAAACGAGTCCTATTCCTTGTGCAATGTGTCTGCTGAATTTGCACAAAATTACTCAATTCAGCTAATTTTATTTATACAGCGTTAAATCACAACAGGAGTTATCTCAAGGCACTTTCTAAAGTAAACATTCCAATGTAACCTACTTATCAGAGCACTGAGTTTAGGTCATTATGCCAAATAGTTAAACATTCCCTACTTAATGAAACCCGGCAGATTCCCTCAAGTCAATGACTCCATTAAAATATACTGATGAACATCTGTTAGAAACATAAGTAGGAAAGATAGTTTCTCAACTTATTTTAGTCTTATGGTTTTGTGGCTCTGTGCGTTTTGTTCTTTTTATGTGTACTTGGCTGCAAGACAGTTTCCCTTTGGGACAATAAAAATGTAAAGATTGTTCAATCAAAATCAAGTTCCTGTAAATAGCATTAGACCCTGGATTAACTTAATAACACATAACGGTGCAAGAAGCCAGCGTTCGTAAAGTGTGCAGGCAGTGTAATAAATGAACCAAACACACTTCCCTAACATGCATTAATAAAGTCAGTCTTGCTTCCCTTTAAAATTCAACAGATGTCGCTCATCCATTACATCCATTTCCTTTGAGTGGCAGCTGTGTGTTTCACTGCTTGTTTTGGTGTCCCGTCACCAAAACAATCTGTATAACTTGTCAGTGAACCTGTTTCTTAGCAAGAGTGTGACTTTTTTATAATGTGGTATCACACATAAATGACCTGTTGCTACAAACCTTTTTTTTTTTTTGTAAATGTAGCAACATTTTTATTTTTTACTGTCGCTCTAAAACCAATTTGATGGACAGTTTTCATTTCCATAAAGGTCAGTTTGATTAAACACACCTTCAACGTGGCATTGATTTGCAGAGTTTTTGACGCAAAATTAAATAATATAAAATATGCCTAATAGTAAATGACACCTTGTTGTGTTTAAGATCCACCAAGCTAATCCAGTTTAAAGAGAGGGAGGAAAAACAGAAACGTAGTTCTGCTACATGAGAGGGGTCAAACTCCGGTCCTCGAGGGCCAATATCTTGCATCTTCTTGTTGTTTCCCTGTTCCAACACACTTGATTCACCTGTTCAGCAGCTCATCAGGTTCACCAGAAGCCTGTTAATCACTTGCTGATTGAAATCAGGTGTGTAGAAACAGGATAAAAAACACTAAAACATGTGGTATAGTGGCCTTCGAGGACCAGAGTTTGACACCTGTCTTTCAAATTCTGTCATCAGCTGGGACTTAAACCTATATTAAAGCTTAAATGAACCAAGCCATTATTTAAAACAGGCAGTAATAATATACCTTCATTCTGATTATTCTCACGTTAATAACAATAATGCATCAATCTCAAATAGCACTTTTTAGGACACTCAGAGACGCTTTACAAACAGGGCAAAGGATTATCTGAGTTTGGGCAAAAAATGACTCCCTAAACACGTCAAAGACCTCTTAAACCTGCTAGCTGTAATGGATGATCTGTACCTGCAAATGCACACATAATGGCCCCAAGCTAAAGTCAGCAGCTGAACGTGTGTGGCTTAAATTAGAGAAAATCACATTTTTGGGGGGGAAGCAGACAATGTGGTTACTTGGTCCTCAGTTTTGTCAGCTCTTGAAAGAGATGGGTTGCTTATGTTGAGGAGACGACAGTGAAAGATGCCACCTCCTGTCATATGCACCGGTGTGTTACCCTGAACAGCCCATTAGAGCCATCTTTCTCCCTGAAGCACCCAACTTCAATTCAACATGTTGAATTGGCTGAAAAAATAAGAAAAAAAATCACTGAAAAGATCCTGCAGTGCAGAAGGTGCCGTGTGTGCCTTAAAGATAAAAGAAACAGGCTGATGCTCTGGATGTTCCCAACAGCAAATTACCTGCTTGGTGTAAAACAAGTCTGAGGGGATTATAGACTAATATACTAAAATCTAAATTTTCTTTAACTCTAAAGAAAAAAATATTGTTTATGTAGGGTATGTGCCAAGGATGACCCAGCCTAGAGAATAAAAATTGTGGACCTGATTAAGGCAACTGTCTTGTTTTACATCAGACATGCCTTAAAAATTCCCACCCTTTGTAGGCTGAAGGAAAAGGACTGCCTCTGTCAGAAGAAAGGAGCCCCAAAGAAGCCAGCAAATGAAAATGTTGAGGGGAACCATGTTTAAAAACCGCCTCCATAGTCATCTTTGTCTCATGCTGATTACCTGCTATGTTTTATCACATCTGACTGATTGGTTTCTAATTGGTTCTTGTCCACAAGTTAAAGGTGAAGATCTTCTCATGGTTTAGAGCCATGCCTGATCTAGAGGATGTAGCTTAGACATCTAATGAACACTCATTCGTGATGGCCATGTCTCAGATACATACAGGAGAACTGTTTTTCCATTGATCTTGAATACATGAACCTTTTCTACTTATAAACAATGCCTTGGGTCCCAAAGCGGTGGCTTTGTTGATTCAGCTTCTAAAACTGTAGTGAACACAGCTAACCTTGCTGACTCTACTCCCGAGGTTATTAATGCAATTTGCTTTGTGATGTTCTTTTCATGTTGATGTAGCAGCAGTTTCACCTTATTGGTGATCCTTACTACCTCCAGTTTGTTGTTGTCTTTGCTGCTTTGGATTGTCACGTGAGCTTAACATGCTCATGCTGCTCGTTTTCAGATAGAAGGCAGCTGTCATCTGCAAAGCTGAGTTCCACAAGTTGCTTTGTGAAGTTTCACTGGATGTGTTTGTTACAGTTCCTGGTTGTCCATTACAAGAATTTTTGATCACCATTATTATTGACAGTGCCACCATACAACCTTAGCTCAGTTTTATTAAATCCTTGTGTCCTTGTGCCTACTCTGCTTCATCTCAATACCATGCTGCATTACCACCCACAGAGAGATGAACTTTAAAGAAAGTTTGGAGCTCTCTCCATTCGGTGGTGCCACGGTTAAATGAATTCCAGTCATCGCAGGTTTTTCTAATTGACTCCATCATTTTGTTTATATTTAATCTCATGCAATTTCTTCCTTGCGTCCTTCTCTGCCCCTATTGTCTCCAGCTACCAATCTTGGTCAAAATTCAAATCTGCTCACATCTAACCATAATCTGGGTTCGATCATGACATGCAAATGTTTGAAAGTTAAAACCAGACTACTGAGAGGAATCAGATGTAGGATGGGAAACACTGAGAAACTGTGTCCTCCACCCAGGGCATTTAATCTGTGCTCGGCTCAGAACTGTACAGGGAACATTTACTTTAGTTTGAGTCTTGGTCTTATATTTTATTACTGTACCAGAAGGCACAGCTTGTCAGATTTGCTAATGTGTTGCGGATGCACGGCTGCTTCCATGACTTTTCAAAAGTGTAAATTTTCTTGAGATTGGTAAATGCTGCTATTCACAAAGATTATCTTCAAACAAGCCAGATATTAAAGTTTAACTAAAGACACATTTTTAAAAAGTCAGTTGAGGTGGTTTAGAACGCATCCTGGACGCCTCTCTGGTGAGGTTTTCCGGGCACGTCCAACTCGAAGGAGACCTAAAGGAAGACCCAGAACACGCTGGAGGGACTTTGTCTCTCGGCTGGCCAGGGAACGCCTTGGGATTCTCCCGGAGGCGCTGGCACAAGTGGCTGGGAAGATGATGCAATTTGCTGGGTTCCTTATATAGGAAACATTATTTCTGATTGGCTTAATGAACTGTGAATTGGAATGTTTATTATGTGAAGTGCCTTGAGACGACTTTTGTCGTGATTTGGCGCTATATAAATAAACTTGAATTGCATTGAATTGAATTGGGAAGAGGGAAGTCTGGTCATCTTTGTTTAGGCTACTGCCCATGCAACCCCACTCCAGATAAGTGGATGGTAATGGATGGATAGACATTTTTTTTAAGTCCAACTATAAAAATTGTCCACATCTTTAAACCTTTTGTTACAAGTTTTGCTTTTCCTCACTTTCATCCACTTTCCTTATTTTTTCTGTACCCTCCTAATCTTGAATTTCCTTCTTTGTGCTTCAGTTGCTGTTTTAGTTTCACTCTCTCTCTTTGACATCTCTTGCCTTCCTCGTAGCATCCTTTTGGGGAAACAACCCGGATAAAGTTTCCCCTCTCCCTGCAGAGCCAGACGTTCTTAAGCCAAAGATTATAGACACATGTTTAATCCTCGTTGTCACATCCTCACTCAT